GGGGACCCAAGTTCCCAACGGCGAAAACACGTGGGTTTGCTGTCCTGGCTCCAGGATGGTGGAATGAGCTCCCCATTGACATCAGGACAGCAGATAGCTTGCACATCTTCCAGCGCAAACTGAAAACTCATCTCTTTTGACTCCACTTTGAGCGATAGAACTATTAACGAAGCACTTTTATACTAATAAAGGACTGGCTTTTCTAAAGCCAGTTGAGTAGCACTTGAAATGTTTTTGCTCTATGAAACCTGATGTACTTATATGATTCTGTTTTCTTCAAGTTGTATTTTGTTGGTCGAACGCACTTATTGTAAGTCGCTTTGGATAAAAGCATCAGCTAAATGCAATGTAATGTAATGTAATCTTCAATGAGAGCCCCAGAAAAACAACACAGCCGTTAGCTCTTAGCACTCAGAGCTCACAGCTCTTCATATCTGTTCAGAAACTAGACAAAAGTTAAACAAGTACAAACCACAGACTGCCTGTGTCATGGCGAATACAGTCGCTGGTTTATTTATGTCTGTAGGCCGTTGTTGTGAGTGTGGACGGTCGGAGCATATATAACGTTAGCTTAGCCAAGCTCCATTTAGAAAACACGCATTTTAAAAGGGTTTTTTCGCCTGCCATCTGTCTGCAGACTTGTCAAAGCATTAATTCATGGTTTTTACTAACCGGTATCAGTATGTTGTTACTTTGGCATCATTTTGAAACGTGTATTACAATTCAATCACGGTCAAATATGTTCATCTTGTTGTAGTTGTAGCCCCCTTGCCAGCGATTCTCTCTCTAGTTTAGCATACTCAGCCCGACTCAGCCTGGTTGTTCCTGGCCCTAGAACCACGATTTAGTCGGGCCAGAAAAAAGGTGAAAAAGTAGCCCCGGGCCAAAACTAGGCCAAGTGGAAACGCAACCAAAAACGGGCCCCGCACGGCTCGGCACGCTTAAAGCGAGCTACCCGCTGCAGTGGAAAGGCGCCATTAGTGTCCCAACACCAATTTAAAGGTTCCTGCAGACCCAGTGAGTGGTGGGATCTGTACTTGAATCAGAATAGTCATACACTTATTATTCCATGTCAAATGTACAGTATCCTTAGCTCATGCATCATTTTCTGTTTGATGGGAGGGTAGATCTTAATGTTCTTGCTGCAGGATGAGTTAGGGTTAGGCTCCCCTCCACTGTGGTGGGAGGAATTGGAAACCAAACATCCATATGGCTAATTATTTACAGAAAGTTGGAAAAGTATCATTCAAATCTCATCTCAATGTTTCTGAGAGTGAAAGGTGAGAGATAAGCAGCATTAGGGATGGGTATCGAGAACCGGTACTAAGTCAGTACCGGTACCTGATTGGACGGTATTGGTATACTGTTAAGCCGCTGGACAAACGGTGCTGCTATTGGTATATCAATTATGCTACTTCCTTAGTTTAAACAATTCTGGTTGGTTGGGAACCCTCAGAGTCCCGTGTGACGTATCCGGTTTGAGTACCACTCTGATTAGCCACTGTGAATGCCACGTGTCATCTCTCCTAACAGCGCTCTTATTATTGTGAGACTCCCGGGGGCAGACCATAGGGGCAGACGCAACATCTTGCTAGAAACAGCGTCTCAAGGCTTCTTAACATTTAACAACCTATTAATTATGCATACCCACTTAACGGGAAGAACTCAGCTAACAGACGATATTAACCATTTTACCTACACGGAACAGAAGTCCAACACCAAGAGTCTAAATCAACACTTAGCAAAACGGGCTAACGGGGCTAACGGCTACTTTAGCACATAACTGGCAAAAGCGATCAGTTCCACGTCATTATATCTGCAAAAACAACATATCACATGAAAGCTGAGATTCCACAGATTCCATTGGTGTAACTCTCATCACTGTACGACCAAAACTCACTGAACTAGAAGCCAGGAAAGAGCAAGAAAACAACTTCACTTTACGTAGCCATGATGATAATTATGTCTTACCTTTGCTGTTTTGTGATCAAAAGTTGTGTTCAAGGGCATAACAACGGTTATTCCAATGTCTCTCTGTAACTTTAAAATGATTACTGATAATCCATCATTACAATTATAAATAATAAACGCAATACACGGATTATAATGGTTAGCCGACCGGAGACTCCGGTTTAGGAGGTGCGCACGCAGCGTCTCGTTTTAACTGAATAATGGTCATGTTTACATGGATTTATGAACTGCCCCTAATAACCGCCCCCCATACCTGCTTGGTATGACATTGAAAAAGATAAATTACAATAAAATGACTGTTGTCTAATCTTTACATTTTGTAATCATGTCTATAATTTTGAGCACCAAATTATTGAAAAGTATCGATAAGAGTATCGAAAAATACCGGTATCGGTATAGATAAAATCCTAACGATACCCATCCCTGCAGCACAAATTCATTTTCCTCAGGAAGATCTCTCTAGCTGTTGAATGTTACAATGCTGACAAATAATGTGATCCTTACATCATCCTCCATTCCATATTCCTGTGAAAAAAAGTCTGAAAGGCCTTTTAAAAGGAGCATAAACAAAATGTGTTAGTGTGAACCCGTTGAGTTTTCATCTAGTTAAGATTCATCAGTACTGTAGGCCTTAACACCACAAGTGTAGAGCTTCAGGATATCAGGACACTGTGTTGAACTTGAAACTAATCCACTTTTCTGATTTTTGAGACATTATATTAAAAGACCATTTACTATTGACGCTGGTCATATTTTATACAGTTTGCAACATAAATTACTTTTCTTTCTCAGAGGTAATCCAGAAAGGTTGAATTACCAGTAATCTGCATTATAGGACAAACAACTATTCCCCAAAACACTATTAATGTGTTGCTCAAAAGCAACTTACAATAATGCAATACACCATGAAGATACAACCTGAAAACAGAGTGCATTAGCTTTCAGTAAGACACACCATTGAATCTGCTACTGCATTGGTTCAAAATAAACCATAGTCTTTGTGCTACATAGAGAAGTGAGAAGTGCTTTATTTTGTTATTTGTTTCTATAATTGGCTAAGGTTCGGTAAAAGCATTTGGGTGTTCAATAAGTGACGGGAGATCTGTAAAATCTCTTAAAATATATATATTAGGTTCAACTTAATATTGTTGCTTATACAGTACATTTAATTAAAGTCTATGTGTGTCCTAAATCCACCTTTTTGGAGCCATGATAGCGAACAGGTGTGTGTCTGTTGAGTGTTACCTGGTTCCCACTCGCAGTGAGAGATTTGCAAGACGATTGGCTGACGTAGAGCAACGTTTTTGTGCTGGGGTTTAAGGTTTAAACATGTCCCGGATTTAGGAGAACCTGCATTAAATCCTCTCAACCCGTCAGCTTTGCCTTGCTGCACCTCTCTAGGCCTATCCAGCAGTTCAAAAGCTCTGAACCAACAACCTGGATGTCAGAGAAGGTGGATATTCAAGGGAGGACACAGAAGCTGCTAAGAAAAAGTTCTAACTATGAAAAGGCACAGTGGATTGAGTAAGCAGGAAGGACAGAATATGCTCTGTAACACACGACCATGGTGGCCCCAAAGTGATGAATCCAGCAGTGATGGCTCTCTTCTCTGCAGGCCTTTCCCCCAGGGATTAGACTGGGTCTTGCATACAGGAGGAATCTGCACACTCAGTTTATGAAATATTCACCATCAAACTAAATCTGTACACTGGAGAACAAGGAGGCCCCAGTGGGAGTGGGTGCCCGGGCCCATCGTGTCCTGGAGGTTTCTGTTGTGTTCCCAGAGGATTCACACGCTGCTACTCAGTTATCCAGAGTTCTGGGAAGATAATTGTTCCATTTCAGAGGTTCATTTCTGTGCCGTCACTTATTTCTTCATGCAAACATGTTTTTATTCGGAAGATACATTGTTTTATGTGACTGGGGCTAAAGAGTAGTGTAGAACTGTTATAAAATATACCACACTTTTTCAGTGTTTCACAGTTTATTCTGAGCACCTAGAACAGCAAGCTTTCTAACTGAATTACAGGTGTCACAGTTCTCTAAATCCATGATATGATTTGACTGTAACTGAAGGTTAAAATGTTGTTTGAATTTCTATATTAGTTCCATTTATCTCCAGCACTGACGGCGATAGAGTTGTTCGAGTCCAGATTCATTAAGATGAACATTGGTTTTATGTTATTACATAATATATGCTACACTGTGTTGGGGTTAGGTGTTAGCAAGTGTGGTTATTAACACATATTAATGATAAGAAATCTCAATGAAACTATTCATATCATTAAAGCCATAAATGCAGGTAACCATAGCGTGGCACAACAATGATGTTCAGTAGCTCTAAAGGCATTAAAATAGCCATCAGAGGTAATTAGTAATGATTTAAAAAGTGACAAATGATCAACATACATTTTTATTGTATTATAAGTTATATCATTTTAAGTTGCATGCACTTACATACTAAAAGTAAATAAAGCTACAGTAGCATCTGTATGGCAGGTAAGAACAACATACTTATTATTAAAAAAATCTATAAGTAGCAGGAATCTATAAAACATTACGTATTATACAATGAATTCAATAAAACCTATTTTAAAATGAATTAAATAAAAATAGTATAACATTTTATAATAATATTATATATTATAAAAACCTCAAGTGGAAACGTCTGTTAACCAACCCTGTCCCATGATGTCTACTAAATAGTGTTCCCAGTTGTGTTGTGGTGACAAACGTAATAACTGGAACCTGTTTAGGAGTCCTTGAAAGGGCTCAGTAAAGAACATGAAGTAAAGCACAAGAACCTGGGTTTTAAATATGTTCCTCAGAACTATACAGGATAATAAACTATTAATTGAGGGACTCACAACTTCACTCATAAATAAATAAATACAATGTATTTATGCTCCGTGAACTCAGGGTCACACCGAGCATTGCTCTGTTTTCTTTGTGTGTGAAGGAAATGATGCTATTGCACACATGAATATGACTTTTTAAAACACTCCTCTCTCGTGTCCTTGATTCCTCAGACCTTGTTGCGGGATGGTAAGAGGGAGAGCACCGTCAGCACCCTCTACCTGTCTCCCTCCAACATCGAGTCGGGGCAGCAGATCACCTGCCGCGCCTCCAACAAAGCCGCCCCCAACGGCAAGGATGCTACTGTCACTATCGATATTCAGCGTAAGTGAAAATCACCAAACCTCAAATGAATGCAAAAGATAAAATATGTTCTTCTGACTTAACTTACTGCTTCATTAGACACACTTAAAACAGTCTGCACACCATTCATACTCATATTCATACCTAATTGTGACACAAAGTTAATGTGGCTACTGACCTGTATGGTGTTTCAAAATAGCTGTAAAACAAAAGAAAACAGATTTTCTCTCCCCTGCAAAATCTGCATGGAAGTGTGGGAAAGCACATGAATACAATGTCAAAGATAAGTAATTCATTACAGATGTTGTGTACTCAGCTAATGACTGTATATATAATTTAATTGGGCTTTGTTCCTGCCTTCTTTTTTTATTTCACTCTCTTCCTGTAGTCGTAATTAAGTGTTTTTTGAGAATTATATTCTCGATGATTGCATCCACCCCAGCATCCTCGGCTCAAACTGAAGTGACAATCTTTTTAACACAATTTTGAACTTTCCCCTGAACTCACCCCCAGTCTCCTGATTTCCACCAGCAAACCTCTCTCTCCCCTTAAAATCACAACAGCCCGGTGTGGCTATGAACTTCTATACCTTCTCATTACGCTCATGTAGCTGTACACCCACTCACCAGTTGTATGCACAACAATTATAAACAGGCCTAGTTCAATGCTGATGTAACAAGGAATTCATCAATTCAAGAAATTCTCCTCTAGAATCAGTCTGCATTGGCCATTTTAACACGCAAAATGTAATAAAATGGCATGTTTCCTAATTATTTCATCATGGACAGATCATGGCATCAACAAGATGACTTTTTAAATCTTAATCTGTCCTCTCCTGGAAACGTTATGGTACTCTTTCTGTCAAACACTTTGCTGTGTTTCCTGTTTCTGAAATTGCTTTTCCATAAGTAATAAGTATTTGAACACCTAGCCCATAATCTTTCAGGCAATAATCCTTTTCTTCCTACATTATTATATTGGCTACCAAAAATAATCCCGCTGTTCATCTCTGAACTAACTGAACTGCTCAAACTCTTGAGTCTACTTAGTCCCCTCTCGCTCTTATTTGGGAACCTGAACATTCATTATGATAAACACACAGAAGCATATGATGGCAGGCTGTCTGGCCTACTTGAATGCCTTAACGTCTTCCATCATGTTGAATTCCCTCCCTAGAACAAATATCAATCAATAATTTCCTAAAGCCTAACTGTACAAAATCTATCATTATTTTTTAACACCGCACTTATAACTGTAATATCTGTCATCCCTCTATTGGTCTTAACATTTTTAATATAATCTTTGCGTATTCTAAAAACTAAAGTCTTCGATGACCCCCCAAACACTAGTGATTTTGCCCACAAATCTACTCACCGCTTTCAGAGCCATTTCACTCAAGCTTTAATACCTGGGCACAGTTCCCAAGGGTAACCAACGACCTTGTGAGCTGCCTTGAGTCATCAGCTTTCTGAGCCTCCTGGAGTTAAGTCCAGTTTATGACACAGTCAGTCATTTCCATCGTACTCACCTGCACGTAAAACTGTCTAGGTGCAGGGTATCAATATCCTTATGATTTATAGTAAAACAAAGTTCCGGAAGGTTCTTTCATGGGCCCACTTTGTATCTAAGTGCTGTCTCTCGAACATCTCTTCTGCAAAAAGTACGAATCACTCATCGCCGTGACACCAAAACGTGCTACACCTCATAAAGTACAGCTTTTTAAAACTCAGTTGTTCACAAAACGAAATGATCTAAAGTCTAACTATTGTTAACGCATTTTAAAATCTCAATCCTCTCTTGTCGGAAACCTTGGTGTCATGTTTTACCAGAACATCAGTTCCAACCTTTGCATTATTGCAGAAATCTCACCTTTCTTGATGCTGAACATTTGGTTCACACCTTAGTTACCTCTACATTGGACTACAGTATGCTTTGTTCTTCGGTCTAATTTCAGACCCTTGAAAATGTTCATAACTCTGCTTCCCGTATTTTCAAACTCACCTACACCAACATACTGTATATGAATACTGTACATTAACTGGCTCCCTTTAACTCCCACATTGAGCACAACATCCTCCCACTAACCTAACAGGCTCACAGCTGAGCTCCATGTTATCTATATCATCTCATTCGGATCTATGACCCCCCCCCCTCCACTTTATTTTACCCACTCACATGTTTTCTTAGCTGATGTATTTTACATGTTTTGTTTTTGTTTCTGTTCCTGGGTCTTTGGGTCTATCATCATAATTATTACCTTTTTCATAGTGTCATCCAAACACCGACAATAATGCACCTCTATGAACAATGGTATTGTCAGATGATATTATTTGATGGCAAAAACTACAGTTGCAAGAACCCTTTGTGAACCCATTGGAATGACCTGGATTTCTGCATAAGTTGGTCATAAAATGTGTTCTGATCTTCATCTAAGTCACAACAATAGACAAACACAGTCTGCTTAAACTAATACCACACAAACAATTATATGTTTTCATGTTTTTATTGAACACACCATGTAAACATTCACAGTGCAGGGTGGTGTGAACCCCTAGGCTAAAGACTTCTTCAAGAGCTAATTGGAGTCAGGAGTCAGCCAACCTGGAGTCCAATCAATGAGACGAGATTGGAGGTGTTGGTTAAAGCTGCCCTGCCCTATAACAAATACACACCAGTTTTGAATTTGCTATTCTTAAGAAGCATTGCCAGATGTGAACCATGCCTCGCACAAAAGAGCTCTCAGAAGACCTACGATTAAGAATTGTTGACTTGCATAAAGCTGGAAAGGGTTACAAAAGTATCTCTGAAAGCCTTGATGTTCATCAGTCCACGGTAAGACAAAGTGTCTATACATGGAGAAAGTTCAGCACTGTTGCTACTCTCCCTAGGAGTGGCCGTCCTGTAAAGATGACTGCAAGAGCACAGCGCAGAATGCTCAATGAGGTGAAGAAGAATCCTAGAGTGTCAGCTAGAGACTTAAAGAAATCTCTGGCACATGCTAACATCTCTGTTGACGAATCTACGATACGTAAAACACTGAAGAAGAATGGAGTTCATGGGAGGACACCACGGAGGAAGCCACTGCTGTCCAGAAAAAACATTGCTGCACGTTTGAAGTTTGCAAAAGAGCACCTGGATGTTCCACAGCACTACTGGCAACATATTCTGTGGACAGATGAAACCAAAGTTGAGTTGTTTGGAAGAAACACTCAACGCTATGTGTGGAGAATCCAAAGGGTTCACATACTTTTTCTTGCAACTGTATTTCCATACAATTTGGAAGTCTGAATGGATTTAATATAGGAGGCTTTTGTACTCCTCACAGCTCCTTCAAATCTATTAGGTATGACTAATAAAGCATGAAATACCATTCAGAGGTGCATTTTTGTTTTGACTGATCTTTTCTTCCCATCCATGAATTCATTTTCAGTTTTGCCGTCCACAATGAATGGAGCACATAAGGTAAAGCTTGGACAGACTGACATGTGGGAGCTAACTGGTTATTGTAAGAATGGACCTTAATCCTTCTATCATGAAAAATAATGGCAGCACCATTTCTCATTGAATGTCCAAAGTTAAAAAACAAGTGGTTGATACTGGAACCTCCACTTGTGTTATTGGACGGCCTGGAACTGTAGGGTCAGTTCTGGTAATAGAGCTTCCCGGCATCCAGTGACAGAGCTCCAACACCTCCAGTTACTGAAATGTGCCTTCAGATTAAAGGCAATGGAGTCTGCTTCCACAGAAAGGGGGGGCGCTAAGATCATTTTTTATCTTAGAGCAGAACAGGTAAAACTCACGTGCAGGACACCAAAGTCACTTTAAAGAAGAGTCCTTTATTATAATTGATCCAGGGCAAGGCGAGGCAGTGCAAAACAAATAACATTAAACACTAACAGGAAACTGACAGAAAACCAGAACCTAAATACCATGCAACCATGCAAGGCTAATCACAACGACAACACACAGCTGGGGAGGACAGAAAAACACAAGGGCACCAGGTGAACAGAATCAGGTAATCAAACAGGAAGGAGGGAGAGACAAAGACAGGAAGTAGAAACACACATAACACTTTAAAATAAAACAGGAAAACACAGATAGATTGTGACAACTACCTTAATTAAAGAAAAAGAGAGGATGACAACAAATAATGGTCCAAGGTCAGATTCAAACCTGAGTCCTCCACACGGGGACTGAACCTCCGTACATGCATGCTCTACCAGGTGAGCTACAGCGCAGTCTGTAAAGAGATTTTTCCATTTGATTTTGGAATATTGCAGAATATAAGACCTATGGTTCAGCAGGATCTCCCTATAACACCACTATAATAATATTTTAAGCATTCATTCAATCACCAGCAGTAAAAAGCGTTATAAACATTTACACATACAAGTTTTAAACATTCACAAATGGGTATTTACTGATGTATTTTATGTCCTATGACAAACGTGCAAATCTTGTAAGAAATCTTATTTCAGGCATCTAACTAAAACCTTTGACTCGAGACAATAGAAACTGGCAGTGCTAACAAGCTGACACCATTCCTGCAACACTCTATTAGTCTTCCATACTCGGCTTAATCATTCCCAATGCAGTATTTGAGCCAAATGCTTAAACAAGCACTCTTTGTTCTATTTAAAATGCACATAAATATATAGCTGTTAGGTGAGGTTGTGCTCTGGTTGAGGTTTTCTGTGAAACACTGAAAAAGTGTGGTTTCACAAAGAAGCAATTCAGCAAGTTTTGGAAAGGCAGGCGCTGTTTGCAGTTGCAGGTGGGGGGGGCGGATGTGACAGGTGCTGGATGAATAACTTATGATGGCACTGTCAAGGTGGAGAGGCTGCAGAGACTCGTAGAGGTCTGAGAAAGTTCCTCACCACTGGGGACAGCCAATGTTAACCACTGGCTGTTAATATTGATGGGAGGCATCTGCTGCTGTCTCAGAGAGGCACTCTGCAGACACACTGTACAGCAGGATGCCTGTGGGCAGAGGACAGACAAACACAGGCTGAGTCTGGTGC